GGGGCGCGTGTTGGAATTTGGTGTTGCACGACTGCGGTCTCAGGGGGCCGCACGGGCGGGGCACGGCAGGCGTGCGCTGGATTTGTGCTGAGAGGGAAGCGAACGACCTCGCCGGGCAATTTCAAATTCCCGCCGGCCACAGCGGCCGCGGCGGCGGCAGCCCCGAGGCACTCGTGTTCCCCACCTCGACGGCGGGCAGCGCGCGTATGTACGCGCGCGCTTTGCTGCTGTTGATGAAGCTGAGGTCGTCCTCGCTGGGGGGGCCGAGGGTTTTGACGATCAGCTTGAGCTGGTCGACATAGTCCTTACCTGGGGGGAACAGGGTGGGGTGAGGTTTTGTGTGTGCGTGTGTGTGTGCGTGCGTGTGTGTGCATTTGTGTATGTGTGTGTGTGTGTGTCGTTGCAAGGTGGTGTCTGGGAGAAGGGGTACGGGGGTCCACACGTGTGTGTGTGTGTGTGTGTGTGTGTGTGTGTATGTGTGTGCGTGCGCGCGTGCGTGCGTGGATGCATCCGTGTGTGTGTGCGGGGAACAAGGTGTGTGTTGGAGGCAAGATGGTCGTCGCATGAAGGATGATAAGCGGTGATTGGGAAGCAGGGGCAAGAGCGGCCGGTCACGCTGCGTCGTCAGCGCTGCGCAGGCCCCTGCCCAGTCCTTTATACCCTGAAACAGGCGCCTTTCCCGCTGCTGCCGCGTCCCTGCACGCCTGCTTTCCCGCAAGGCCCCCCGCGTGCCTGTCACGACTCCGGCCCCACACCGCCGCCACCACTGCCTGCTGCGGCCGCCCTGCACCCGGCGCTCCGCGCCCCGCGCACCTGGGAAGAGCGGCCGCCGCCCCAGCAGCTCCGCGAGGATGCAGCCGACGCTCCACATGTCTATGGCCGCGGTGTAGTGGTCGCAGGACAGCAGCAGCTCGGGGGCGCGGTACCAGCGCGTCACGACGTACTCCGTCATAAAGTTGCGCTCAGTGCTGGGGTTGAGGTGGGGTGGGGTGGTGGTGGGGGTGGGGGTGGGTTTTGTCGTGTGTGTGGTGGTCTTGCAGCAGTTGTGGTGTTGTGGGGCTGCTGCGGCATTGATGTTGCGCACGAGTGGAGCAGTGTGGGCTTGTGGGTATGCAGACCTGATATAAGCATGTGGGTTGAATGGCAAATGGGCATTGGGATGCTGCTACACTATCTTCAGGCTTCAGGGAATGCTCTTCAGCAGGGATGATGCTCTGCGAGGTGCTCCTGTGCCGGCTTGGGACCGCTGCAGCAACACACTACCCCTCCCTGCCCCGCGCGCCGCCGCACCTGGTGCGCGCGAGCCCAAAGTCGCAGATTTTGAGGTCGCACGACGCGTTGAGCAGCAGGTTGCTGGGCTTGAGGTCGCGGTGCAGCACGTTGGCGCTGTGCACAAACTTGAGGCCGCGCAGCACCTGCGCGCGGGCGCGGCGGGCGGCGAGGCTCAAAACGGCCGGCCGCGCGCCGTGCACACCAGACCTTCGGCCGCCATCAAGCCATGAGGCTGCGCATGACGTCGACGGCCCGCTGCCGCGCGGCCCCCCTGGCCGCGACGCACCATGCGCCCCCGCAGCCGCCCCTGCCCCGCGCGCTGCGCGCCTGGTACACGAAGTACTGGAAGTGCTCGTTGGTGAGCGGCTGGCTGCTGCGGATGATCTGGTGCAGATCTGTGTCCATGAGCTCGTACACCAGGTAAACGTCGTTGAAGCGGTCCCTGGCGGGCGGCCGGAGAATGTCCTTCACGGCTATGATGTTCTCGTGCCGCAGGTGGCGCAGCAGCTTGATCTCGCGCAGCGTGCGGCGCGCGTCGGTGAGGTTCTCGAAGGCGTTGGCGATCTTTTTGATGGCCACCTTCTCGCCGGTCGCCAGGTTCTTGGCGCTGGGGGGTCGGAGCGGGAGGGGGCGGCACGGGGACCAGGTGCGGGCCAATAGTGGTGCGGGGAAGGGGCGGGGCGGCCATGGAGGCCAAGTGGTGGCAGCGCGGCCGCGTGAGAAGCACAAAGGGCATCGGCACGGCGGCACGCCTCGCACGCCGGTGCGATCAGAACACCGGGGGGTGGCATGCGCGGTGGCACGGTGTGCACTCTCGAACGCCGCCGACCTGCAGACGACGCCATATGCGCCCTTGCCAATAGCCTTGATCGGCTGATAATGCTGGTCTATCTCAAAGTTGGTGCGCCAGAGCACCCAGCAAGCCTTGCCAGGGATGTTGCACTCCTTGCGCTGCGGAACATTTGAGCTGGCCGAGCCTCCGCCAGATCCGGCTTGGGGCTGCTGCTGCGCAGTCTGGTCGGCCATTCGTAAGTTTTGATCCCTTATGCTCCGGGTCAGCGCAGCAGCTAGTCCAGCCACACCCTATCCCGGCCTTTGGCGCGGGGCGATCAGCTTAGCTTCAATGCCTGCACACCGATCATGCATGTATAGATAACAATCGTGAGTTGCGAAACATTGATTAGGACAAAGGCCTCGCGCACGCTGCCTGCGCCAGCATGCAGGACCTGCCTTCACAGCCGCGGGGACGACAGCGCGAGATGCAAAAAGAACTCTTTGGTATTGAGACTGCGAGGTTGTCATTGTGATACAGTACCGTGGTAGAACACGCAAAAACCGCTTGGGCACTCCGCGGACGCTTCACCACTTTCACTGCTGGCCGCCTCGTCTGGTGTTGTATGCCTGCTCCTCCACAGAGTTTGCTGCTACCGCATGAAGGGACAACGTGTTATACATTATACAAGAGGATTGGGATTGCATCAAACCCAGGGTGAGGGAAGGGCAAGCCCAGTCAATCACTCAGTCAAGCAGTTGCCATGCGTCGTTGCGAACGCTCACATCCTCGCCCTGAAGCCCTCGTTTCAAACGACGCTATTCGCAAGCCGGGCGCTGGCACTGCTTATAGTTGACGCGAAATTCTGGCCGCCATGCATCCAGCTATTACATGTCCGCAGGATACGTTAGACAAATGCAAGGCGGCCACAATATCCATTGTGCCTGATGCAGCCTAGCGCATGTTTGCACAGCGCATGCAGCCAGTTAACGCATTGAATAATGATCAGGGACACTGATTATGGTATAAAATCCAAAATCATATGGATTGAAATTTTGAGGGAACGACATCGTTGCAAATAGTGCAGGTATGCAGGACAGACATGGGCTCTGGAAGCCTTTGGAGGGGTGGGGGGCGTGGGCGCCCCATGGGGAGGGGCATTATGATGGTATGTACCTTTATGGAATTTGCCGCAAGCGGTCATGCGTGTATATGCCTGAGTAATGTAATGCTGCTTGTTGTTGTCACAAGCACGCTCAATAAATGGTGCAACGAAATTTGACCCGGCAGTAAGGGAGATGGCCTCCCAACAGGTGCTAGCAGCGGTCAGTTGACGACCATTGGCATTGCAGCTGCTCGCAGCACTCAAAACTGCCACTCCTGGTTAATGATTCTAAATCCTAACAGACCTGAGCGGAGCACCTCGGTGCAGTGTTCTGTTTGCAAGCAACCAGCCAGGCCTCTGCATAAAATGTAGCGGCAGCGTTCGGCCGCCCACTGACAGTGTGCAGCAGCTGGCAAGCCATCAGCGTCAGCAGTCCCCAGAGGACGCGACTTGAGCGCACACCGCTGGACGCCTCACTTGAGGTTTAGCCCACACAAATGGCAGGCTGCCGCTTACAAAAAACTGAGGTTTCAACTCCTGATGGGCACCGTGATGAAGTCGTCACTGTACACACCGAGGGCGCCTGGGTAGGGGCAGTCGCCGCGGATCCTGTAGAACCCAGACTCCCCCCAGCCGTCAGCCCACCTGCGGAACAGCGAAGCATCAAGTGGAGCAGGCCACAGGCAGACGGGTGCGTTCGTGCAGCGCGGTGAGCGCAAAATCGGAGGATCACCGGGTGGTTTTGGCGCTCCGACCCGTGCACCACGCTTGACTGGCATTATGCCGTGCTGCAATGGCCCCCTTGCCAATTGCGGTGCGCGAGTGAGGACTCACGAGTTTTTGAGGGTGAAGACCTGCCAGGCCTCACTCCTTGAGTTCACCACCACGTTGACGTTGTTGCTGTTGGGGCAAGATTCAATTGCCAAGATCGTGAGGTAGCCACATTTAGGCCATCAACATCAAAAGGTGGCGCAGGTGGAGCTGAAGCTGGTGAGGGCACAAGTTAGAGGCTATGTGTGGTTGTCGCCAAGAGCCGCGAGGCCCCCACGTTGCAGCGCCTGAGCTGCAGCGCACAAACCTGCACATGCAACGCTAAATCGCGGTCATGCAGCTCCGCCGCGCTCTTGTACGCAGAGGTGAGACAGCACCAGGATCTGCACTCACGCATAAGCCACCACGGCGGTCTCGTGATTGATCGAGCCCGAGTAGCTGCAGCCGATAACACCGCTCTTGTAGTTTTGGAACGCCACGGTGTCGGCGCCGACGCCGATGGAGAGCACTGAGTATCAAGATTGTGTGCAGCGGAACCCAGGTTAGGGTTTTGGAAGCGCCACAAGGTGTAATGCATGCGAAAGTGCAATCAGTGTTGCATTGCGGCATGAATCACATACATAACACATCAACACAGAGAAACGGAGATGAAAAATCTTATCACTGTAGAGCCGCCCTTGTCTCGTTTTTTGAGCCAATGCCCATACCCACCATTGTGTGAGAGCGCCCTGCGCACGTCGTCCACGTTGCCAGGCACGTAAGTATAGCCCTTGATGCCTGCATCAAAGCGGTCAATGGTCCTGGAGCACTGGTTGGTGTCCCTCTCGGTGTAGGGGTCGTCCTTCTCGTAGGCGACCCCGTAGCATATCGCACGGTCAACGTATTCGTAACCGTTGGCGCCCACACAGGCGTCGCCTGTGGGGCCGCGATCCGTGCGGTCGTTGATGTCGTTGTTGGCAGCACTGCAGCTGGGGCCGTGCGGCTAGCCCTGAAGCTGATTGATCTTACGCCGCCAACATGCAGTGTTCCTGCGCACTCGGCATGTGTATAAACTTGCACCCTGAAAACTCTGATCGCTGCCACTCAAGCCCGCGACGCACCTGGGGTGCAGTCCATCGAGTCCTGCTCTGACAGGTCGGTGTTGGCATTCGTGTAGCCGAGGTTGCTGTGCTTTAGAATGAACGCCGCCTCCAACGAGGCGGTGTTGGCGAAAACCACGCAGCTGCCGCACTGCAAGATGGCGGCAAGGGGGCGGGCGAGGGACAATCGATGCAGGAGGGTCAGAGGAGCAGCTGTGGGTGAAGATTGGCGGGCGCGTGCCTTGGGCGGGTCGCCTCAAGTAATACCCCACACCAGGCAGCCCCAGGTGCCGCGCGGTTGCCGGCGATCCGACAAGCACCTCACCTCCCCCTGAAACTTGACAGACGTGACGACGGGGGGCTTGGACCTGCGCCAGTCGATCACCGATGGCGGGATGATCGCCGCCAGGCCCGAGGAGCGCCACGCGGTGGGCCCCTGGCAGTTGTATGTTTCAGCTCTGGCGGCCTCGGCTGTCCTGTTGCTGTCAGCTGCGGGGCCAGGCAGGGCAACAGGATTGGCAGAAAGCGTCTCGATTAGAGCAGAAGGCAGGCGTCCAAGCATGGCGGCGCCATGCAAACCAGCCGCTGGGCGGCACAGGCGCATGCAGTGGGCAGTGCACGGCGCGACGCCAAGCTCGCCGTGAGCGAGCCCCCCTCTGCCACCCAAAGGGCCGGCGCAGGCGGGCTCACCCTGCGCCTTCCTGCCGTTCAGGTACAGCCGGGCAAACTCCTCGCGCGGCAGATGCGTCAGCGGCGTGACGCCGTACGCGACTGTGCTGCCCGACGCCGCGTTCAGCTCGGCTATTTCCTGCAGCGCCGCCTTGAACGTCTCCCTGTAGTGCTCCAGCCCGGCCGCGTCCGCATTCTCGAGGACCGTCGCGTGCGGCGGCGGCCGCCGGCCGGCGCGGCGCAGCGCAGCGGCCTGGGCGACCAGGGCGGAGACGTGGGCGTCAAAGGCCTCGTCCGGGTGTTCCAGGGCCTTTTGGAACTCTGCCTTGTCGGCCAGGACGCGCGCCGCGACCGCGCCCCGGCGGGAGTCGGCGGGGATGGCTGTTTTGGACAGCAGGGTTGGTGGGTTGGTGGG